AATTCGCTGTTCTAAATATAATTCTTTTTGATAGAATTTGATTTGTTTTATAGCAGTCATTCCATGGCATGACGGATATTGGGGTAGTTTTTGTTTTAGAAAATTCCATGTGCTCCACAGATTATTGAAAAAGATAGGGGTTTTATTTTTCCAATTTTCGGTCTTTATTATGCAAAATATTGAAAACTAATACGGTTGATTGACATAAAAAATTTTTTTTTCTACAAAAAACCTTAATACATCTTTGCTCTAATATAATTTGGGGAGCCAAAAATGGCATGTTATGAATTTTACACTGAAATCCCTATGATGCGTGACGCAAGTCACCACCCTGTATGTACCACGATAGAGAAGTCTATTATTGCCTTCGCACCTTACATCCCTCGGCGCAAGCGCCTCGAGAATCTTGGTGCTCAGGTAATAATACTGGACTTCTCTACCTTAATATATAATGTACCTACTAATTTTCTCCTCCCATGCTTTAATTGATATATTAAACATTTGCTACCTGTACGTTAATTGAGTCATTTCGATACAAATTGTTCACGAGTTTACGACCAACAGAAATGCAGCATCACGGGAACACGACGCATAATTTATGAAAATCAAAGATACCATAACAATTACAGACAGATCTAAAATTTATTTGGTTTGACAAATGACAACTGCTGGGTATAGCGAATTCGTGGTTCGTTTTCGTATGAATTAATCATACGATTCCAATCTGCGGTCATTCTTGAATAAATTTGACAGTGACACTCCGCGCTTTGAGGTTGGTAACTTCACTACTTGCACACAATAAAAATCTCAAATTTTGAAGCCATCGTAGCACCTCTTTATAGATAAGCATGTAGTCGTATAAAAACTAGTGTATGAAATTCGTCATTAAATGCTCATTGTATAATATACTATTTTTATCCTCTTAACTTATTTGTAAAAATCCAATATAGCGTCTATAAGGAATAACAAGGTAGTAGCGTGTAGCTTTGGACAACAAACCTCTGTGAATGGCACCTATAACTGAAGCTTTTTACAGGGATCTAGTTTCATGATAATTTCTTATTTACTTCAGTATAAACGGTTACATTTGCTGTTATTTTTATTCTTATTTTTATTTTTATTCTTTATGAGCATAAACTGGCCTTTATCGTGGTATGGAAATTCTAGAAGGTGCTAACCGGAAGCGGCAATTTCCAACCCTTTGAGGCAGGAATAATACAGATGAAATTTGACATGTTCAGTTTTTCGATGATATCTCAGTTATTTTCAAGGATCTTTTACTCACCCTGTACAGAACAAAGTGTCGGAGGCTCGGTCAGAGGAAGATACTTACAAAGGGAAATTGGTTGATCTGGACCACCACACGCATCATCTACGATATCTCGAGAACTGAGTGTACTCGCAAAAGGGAAATTGCGTGATCTGTGCCATTGGCCTTAGTTGGTGTGCTCAAAACTTCAAATGCTAATTTATCTCGAGAACGGGGCACATTCTTTTGCGATGCACACAAAGAAAAAATGGTTGATCTGGTTGAGACGCATCAGTTGAGAGATTCAAAATGTCATCTTCTGATATCTCGAAAACTAGTGGGAAAAAGGGTACTTTCAAAGGGGAAACTGTTCATCTGGACTAGACACATCAGTAGGTAGAATTCAAACGTTAAATGCGAATATCTCGAGAATGCAATGTCGGAAAAAGAGACATATTAAGGAAGAGGGGAGGTATGTACGTACTGACAAAGGGCAAGTGGAACTTCTGCACAAGACATATGTCTCGGTGTAATCAAAACGAATATGTCAGAAGAGGGCACTTAGAAAGAGAAAATGGCACATCTGGCAAAGACAGGTCGTCTCACAAAATGTCACCTCGACTGCATTTTCCAAATCGACCCACTATTTGTGGTAGAGTGCGGTTTGCAACACATTGTTACACTGTGATTTTTTGTGTAAATGTGGCTTTATTGTTAACGGTAGCGTTTAATCACTAAGCAAGTGACAAAGTTTTCATTTGTTTTCAAAAATCTCTTCAAGGAGTCACAAAAAAATTAAACAAGTTAAAAAGTAATCGTAATTTACAAAAAGCGCATTTCGACTTGCTGAACTTCACATTTATAAAATGCAACTGTTAAAATCGTAAAAATCCGGCCACAAATATGAAAGATGGCGTTGCACATGTGCAATCCATTTTTGACGTGCTACTTCAATTTCTGTTTATAAGAAGAATTTCATTTCAATGCGTTTCTAAATAGGAAAGTACTGCGCATGCGCAAACCTAAATTTTGAAACTAACGTTAGATTTTCCCTTGTTCCATTTAAGTTTTATTAGTTTTATAAATAAAAAAGTTTGCAATTCGGTTTATAAATGGTCGAGATGCGAAAAAGGCACTGTCAATTTTGAATCGATTCGACTCAACTTTTGGCATTGCGTATTATATGGCTAAAGCTATGCAATACAATAACTTTTTAGCGCATTTTTTAAAAATTAAAAAAATGTGCTATTGTTTGCGTTTTGTCCGTCCGGACCCACTTCTGCCGTTTCGAACTACTAGGGGAATGGTCCTAGAGTCCTGCAATTTTTTATACTATACTATTATACTATACTATACCTTGAAGGTGTGCCAGACGGCCATCAAATTTCGCTGTCTAAAAGGCCCCCCCCCCCACGAATTATTTACTGAGATGCTATTTTTGAAAGTAAAACGTGCATAACTTTTACATACGACAACCATTTGGTCTCAGATTTTGTATACGCTTGCCTTTAGTGGTGCCAAGTTAAACTTTAGAAGGGGGGGGGGGAGTAAACACATGGTCTACCCTTCATGGTATTCAAATAAAAGGTCTTATAGAAATAAATTGGTTTGTACAAACTATAACTTTCCCGTGCGCCTCTTTTCCGAGATCAGTAAGCGACGGGCCCGAAGGGGGAGGGGGGGGGGGGTTAAAAATTAATTTGATCTCTCATTGTATTCTAATTGAAGGTCTCAACGAAAGTAACCGCTATCTTCTATCTTCTTTCTGTCCTCTTATCAAAGTAGGTACCTCAAGACCAGATTGTCTGAAGAGGGTACTCACAAAGGGCGATTGAGACGTCTGCAAGAAATATAACCATTGGTGATGTCAAAACAAAAGCTATTTCGGTAAAAAGAAATGCACTTTATCTGCACACGAGTTGTGCACAATTAATACTTTCTTCCTTCCAAGCGTGATATCGTTTGATTTATATTTATATTTTTCAAATTTTGTGCCGTTTTATATTTTTCCTGTGTGTGTCGATCTTCAAACACAGCGCCATCTACTACCTTCTTATATTGAATGCAGTTTAGTAGGCAAACAACGCATGGAGTAAAAACCAAACCAAACTTTCCTATTTATGGTTCAATTTCTTTGTAATTTTAACCCAAAATGTTTCTAGTAACGGTACACATATCAGCTACATATTGCAAACACCAGGTGTGCGCATGCGCAGGTCATGCTAACTTGTACAGATATTTTTTTGAAATTTTAACCACAAATGCTAGTCAATGCCAACATATCGCATAATGTAAAAATCGGACGTGCGCATGCGCAAACTGCGCAATGCCATCGTTTTTATTTACGGAGACATTTTTTTTTTAATTTTAACCTTGGAAGCTTCTAGCAAATAAAAACATAGCGCATATAGTTATGGCCTTTTGGAAAGTACTGATAAATGCATGGAAAATGCGCTGAACTTAATTGCCTTAGGGCAAAACCGTACTTTATTTTTTGCATTGTATTCAGGTATTCTTCATTTCTACGTGCCAGGATCAATAAGCCTTTTCACCATACACCTGCGAGTTTTTTGGCAATTTAGGTTTTAGCTCGGTGCGTAAAGTAAGCCTTCAGTTCAGGTATTAGTCAGAGCCTTTATAGTTTTGTATTGTTGTCCGTCCGTGTCCGTGAAAACGAATTGCAATAACTTTTTAAAAGTGGCCGATTGTGTTGAAATTTGGTGTGCGGATACATTCGGTAGGTCGCTATTGATTTTCAGGAAGCTGGCTCAACAGGAACAAAAGTTATACGACTTTGAGTGAATCAGGAATAAGAACAACTGTGGGCTAGAAATCAACATATTTCATTCCCTAGGTCATGTATCGAGTTCAGACTTTCGCTATGACTCTTAGATTTGTAACAATTCAATATAACACTTCTCTGTGGTCTATGTGTTACTATGTGATAAGATTAAGAGCAAAATGTACCCAAAGTTATTCTTTTCACATAAATTTGGAGCTTTCAAACACATCTTGATGCCGAAAGACTAAATTACATGCACATTTGATAACCGCGTATGTTTGATTCAAAGATATTAAATTCTTTTTCTGGGGCCACATGTATGTTTATCAAAACCGAGATCAAAACGTTTCAAAATCGTTATTCCTGCACCGACATCATTGGGAAAAGAATCAAGAGCCACAAATCAATGCCCAAGACATGAATTTGATGCATTTTTGTTGACTATATGTATTTTACAAGCTTCAAATAAATGGTTGTTAAAAAAGTGGTGGTCGAGTTGAGGATCCGTCAATATTTCCTTGTATCTGTTTATTAATTTTACCCTTGTTGTTACATATCGAAAATATCGCATTCAAGTCATCATCTTGATATCAACATATAAAGTAACCCCACTAATACTACCCAACTTTGATGTGCAAGAAGTACATCATAATAGCACGAACTGTATAAATACAACAAAAGAACAACTTCTATAAGACATGTACCTACACGTTTCCAATTCTCCTTGCCAAAGATTACTAAATATATTTATAAGGTTTTTCTGCTAAAGTATGCACCCCCTAAGAAATCACAGACTTAATCTTATTTTGATGTCTTACATTTCATCTTTTTATGTGGGAGAGGGGGCACCTCATTAATAAAGTTAAATGAAGCATGAGGTATAAAGTGCCCTAAATGTATTGTTCGTAATATGGAATAAATTCATTTGTAGAGATACATATTTATATACATTTTTGTTTACTGTTTCAGAAACTGGACACAACAGAAGCGTACATATGTACATCATGTTTTATCGCTCTCCGGACTGCTTACGAATTCAAGAGGATGTGTCAAGTCACGGAGCAAAAATTTCAAAGTTACAATTACAAATATCGGCGACCTTTTGGAGTTGGTCCAGGCAGTCCACAATTTCATGTATCACTTAGTGAAAATGGATCGACTACTCCTAATTTTCGTTGTCAAAATTTGAATTATCTCCAATCGGACACCAGCATTGATATTACCGAACATCATCTGTATGACGCCTCGAAGGTTCTACCACGTAAGCAACTGGCGTATTTAAATAATGTAACGCAAAAACTTCCTGAAATTGATGTGGAAGTAGTTGTGAATCAAACAAACAGTGAGAAACAAACAAATGCTGAAAAGAAGACGAGTTTAGAAAGACAAACAAGTGTGGAGAAACAGACCACCAAGGATTCCACAGACAGTAAAACAAACAGCGAATCCAAAGACAAGATACTTGCATCAGATAAGAAAGACGACAAAGCTGGCTTGAAAGAGGGAGCTGTGGTGAAAAGTGAAAAAAAGGATACAATAATTGAAAAACAAGAAGAAAATATTGCAATCAAAGATATCCCAAAAGAGGAAAAGTTGAATTCTAAACAAGAGAAGAATGAGAGTGCTCTTCCCCAAGACATAAAACTTGATCCAAAATCGGGAAATATTACTTTTCCAAACTTACCAGGAATCGAAATTGTTCCAAGAAAACTGGATTCGACGGCAATTAGAAAAAAATATAATATTGGAAGCCAAATATCAATTTTAAAAACCCCTAAATACGTTTCGGCCATAGAGACAGTTGTTAAAAGAGCTTGCGAAGAAATAAGCTATCTTAAAACGAACAATATTCTCCCAGAGGCACTAAATTGTTCGGTCCATTTGGAATATTTATCTTCGGCTGTTACAATGAACAATACTTCAGACAAACAAACAATTTATGAAATGAAAGCCATAGCCAATTTATATTATTCTGAGTCTGCTAATGAGATATTAACTTGCAAATCCTGTGACAAATTTTTCTCCACCACTTATTGGTTGAAAGTGCACGAGGAGGAGCATGAAAATGATGTCGATAAACAGTTTATGTGTGATAGATGTCCCGCCACTTTTATAGACGATGAGAGTTTGCAAGATCATATTAAACAACATTACGCCGAAAAGGAAGCTGTAAACTCAGTCCAGTCTGAAACATCAACTGATACAATCAGTAAAATAGCAGTTCCTTTGTTAGGCAATGATCAAATTTCTTTGACGCCAATTCCAAAAGAGAAGAGGATAGTTAAAGGAAATGTCGACCAAACTGAAAAGAATGAACTGTCACATTCTGCTAAAGTAGATACTTTTGAAGTTGAGAGCTGTGGGAAAATTGAATTAAGTAACGCTAAAGAGAACAACCAAGTGGATTCGCCTTCACCATTACCTAGTCCGGACCGTAGTTCTCCATTTGATGAGAAAGAAGAACTTCCTGTTGAAGAGGAGAAGAAGATTAAAGCTGAACTCGAACAACTGTCTACCAGCATTAGCAAATCTGAAAGCGAAGACTTAGAAACGTCGTTAGCTAAGATAAAACGAAGAAATAGAGTGAAACTGCTGAAACGTCAGTTCAAATCTCTATTCAAGAAGAAAATATGTCACTTAAACTATTTTCGATGTTTTATTTGTCTCAAACTGTTCAAAACAAAGTTTGTTTTAAATCAACATTGCAAATATGTTCACATTCCTAACACTTTAGATTCAAACTATTGGTCAAATGTTATAAAGGCTCAAAAGGCTAGTAGAAGTACCTCTGAAGATGTTAAGGAAGAAGTGGACAATGTTACTAATGATAACAGTCAAGTTGTTATACCGGAAACAAATCTCACACATGTCCGTACTGCCAAAAGCAATTTGAAGGTTACATATGCTTGTAATATTTGTGATAAACGTGTTGCAGAAAAACGATTTCTGGAATTGCATATGTACGTGCATACTCCCACTTTCGTATGCATGGATCCAAATATAGCTTATAACAAACACGGTGACGTCTTTAAATGTTACTTGTGTGAAAAGGCCTTCCCCAAAGAAAGATATTTGAAGCTGCATAATCTACAGGTTCATCTATCAAAAACAATAATCTGTAAAATTTGCAACCGCGAGTTTAAAAGCGATTTTTGGTATAGTCAACATAAGTGCGTAATACCAACTGAAGCACCTGAACCGGAGCCGCCTGTTGAAGATGAAAACAACCAATTTCCATGTACTGTTTGTAACAGAAAGTTTGCTCGCTTAAGGTTTATGAAATCCCATCGCCACCGGATGCATAAAGATGTAAATGAAGATGGAACTCCAAAAACAAAACGAGAAATATCTGCAAAAGCTAGTAACGTCTATGGTGATTCAGATGATAACGAAGATTCGAACTATGAAAGTGAAAACGAATTTGACACCACCGAAACTGAAACGAAAGAATCTGATAAATCGCTTCAAGGTGGAAGTTCTGTCGGTTTAGGTGATCGTACATTGAATCTCAACGAGTTGGGCTCGCGAAGAAGTTTGTCACGAGGAGTTCCCAAAATACAATGCGACTTTTGTGGTGATTACATAGAAGAGACGGTGTATGATAAGCATATCTTTGAACACAATAAATTACGTCTCGATAGAAGCCTGTCGAAAAGAAAATCTCTCGACTCTAGTTTTATCAGTACCCCTGAAAAGAAGCAGGAATTTATGAAATGCCCTGTCTGTTCGAAACCTTTCAAGAGAAAATATAATCTAAATGTTCACATATCAAAATATCACGAAGGAGTAGAAACCTTGGATGTTTCTGAATTGAACGAAACTGTAGAAGATGAGGAAAAGTATCTAAGCGACAGCGAAAATAGTCAAAAGGAACCTCCGGAAATTGTATACGGTCAGATTTCTTTAATAGACGGTATTGAGATATACGAATGTTGCGAACGCACCTTTAGATTAAAAGCGCATTTCTATCGTCATTTTAAAATTAAACACCCTAATTGTACCTTTAAACCTATTTATATTGACCAAAACCCCCTAATAGACACTAAAAGCATTCTTGAACCAATAATAACTATCGACGAAGGAACTGACAAAGAACTGAATGACAAATGTATTAACCTATCGGAAGCGGCAGAACAAAACTTGCATATCACAGAGGAAGATCATCTATTCAAAGATGATTGTACAAATGACCTCGCGCAAAAGGAGATGCGCAAAAGAGGTCGCCGTAGGAAGATAAATGCGCTAGCTGAGAACATTGCAGATGATGAAGAAACTGGTAACATAAATGAGTTTATGCCAATAGGTGAAGAGAGACCGTCTAAACGACAAAGGGTACAGCAAATTATAGCCGATGACAAATCTGTCAGAACTGCTACCTCGGATGAAAGTGAAGATATGGAAGCAACAGCACATCATCTTCGACAGCTAGACTTGCTACCAGTTGTAAGTAAAAACGCGTTTGGCAGATATGAGTGTCATATTTGTGAAAGGCGGTTTAAACAAAAATGCCAATTAAGAGATCACTTCAATGTCCACACTGGCGATAAACCGTACAAATGTGACTTTTGTAATCCGGTTCGTGGTTTCACTCAAACCTCTTCCTTATATGTACACATCAGGAGGGTTCATGCAGTTGTAATGAAGAACTGTATATGGGAGGTATACTCAAAGAATGGATCTTGTATAATATGTTCAGAAATATTCGACAAGCATTCACACATGTTCCAGCACTTGAAAGATCATTACTTAAAAAAAGAGTTTGAGTGTCAAGAATGCCATAAAAACTTCCACATGAGTTGTCATTATAAAGTGCACAACATTAATCCCGAAGATATGCAGCATCTTTTGGCAGACAACAGCTCAGAATTGGAAGAGGACGAGGAATCCGAACTCGAACAGGATTCGACCGTAGAAACACTAATGCTTCCAATAATTGATGACGAAAAAGTAGAATCCGATTCAGATTCTTCCAGTTTTGTGGTAGGTGGATGTGATGAAACTAAACCGTCAAAATGCACCAAGTGCAGTAAAGCCTTCCCCAATAAAGAACAGTTGAGATTTCACAAGAAAAGCTTAGCACATATACAGCAAATTGAAGCGATACGAAGTAAAGTAAGTGAAAACTCAACTGATGAAATGGAAGAGGATTCTTTAAAGACTGATAGTGAAGCGATGGCAGATATCGAAAATGGAGTAAAGGCAATCATTAAGAAGATTCGTACTTTCAAAAAACATCGTTGTAATCTCTGTGGTGCTTCATTTGGCAAAAGGATTCACCTTAAAAAGCATAAAAGGAAACACAAAATGCGAAGAGCTTATATGAAAGTGCACGAAGATAGTATCACTACGGACGTAGATGAAAATCCGAGCAATATTGAAATGCAAGACACTTCTAGTAACACAAATACACTGGATTCCAATGAAACTGAAAAAGTTCTCGAGATTACACCTTCTAGTTCAAATCCAATTGAAATGCAGGTACCAGCAGACACTGAAATAATTTCAATAACTACTACAAAATCCCTCGAAACAACTGCAGCATCACATCCACGTTGTGCCGGCGACGTTGATGATTTACCGCAATTATCAGATAAGAAGCAAGATGGTGAGTCTGCAACTGATGAATTTGGTTCGTTTGATGTCATTCTCAAAATTGCAGAAAGCACCTCCGAGTTAAATAAACAATTTTTATTTAAGCACACAAGTACTACTAACAAAGGTATTAATTTTGATGTACCCAATTCTACACTTAATTTACATGAAGATTTATCTTCACGAAATACTATTATTGAGTTACCTGACAGTACTATCACCTACATAAATCCTAACCAAAGTGATATTAGTTTGCTAACAACCGATCATCCTTTGACAGAGGAATGTAAAGACGACATGTCCGACTTGGATATTACCATTGAAGTTTCAAAATGTACTGAACTGCCACTTGGCCTAGACAACAAAGAACTGAAAAAGTCTTGCAGTCTTAATATTGACGATTTATTAGAAGATGAACTTTCCTCAACTAACATTGATAATAAGAACTTTTACTCAAGTTTAACTAACGATTTAGTAATATTACCCATTTCCGAAAATGTTCTCGCTAATACAAGCAAACCGATGGAATTAAGTAGTCCCCTGAACGATCTTAGTTTTCATATTGTTGAATCCCCGACAGAAGAGACGCGAAGTGCTCTAACACTCTTTGATTTAAAAACTTCAGACAGTGTACCCAAAGAACAGTGCAACCTACAAACTTCTATCTCGCAATTAGAAATACACGAAGTTGATAGTACCTTTATTATACAACCCCCTGCAAGTACAGTATCTGATAAATGTTTTGACTTAGGTGAATAATTAATGATCTGCAGTTAATTAAACTAAGAATAGTTAGTAGAATGTTATAATTCCGATATAAGTATGGTTTCGGAATGGCGCCATTTTTGCAAAAGAAAACTGTAAAATTTTTAATATAAATAATCTTAATATTCTAAGGTAGCAAATAATAGTATTGTCTTTAGGTAGATGTGCAATTAATATTAGTACTGATCACAAGTTTGCTTTCAAAAGCTTTTACTGATATAATTTGGTACCTACCTGTATTTTACTACGATTAGTACTTTTATTAAGTAATATTAATTGGAATCACTGTCACAGTTGTAATTATTAGGTATAAAACGCAAAGATCTATTTATCGTGATGTTATATTTTTCGTTTTATACTCTATGCTAAGTTGGTGTGGTGTCTAGTTGTAAATGACATCAATTCTGTGGAATGCATTAAATATATTTCACTGATTTTGTATTGATTATTATTATTATTACCATTTGCGTTATAGTAAATGTTGCAAAGCAGGCTAGTTGATTATTTGAAATTTTTATGAAGTATGTTGCACAATAATTATTTCATGTAGATATGTTGGTCATGTGTTTATAAAAAAGTATTCACAATAAAAACTAATGCCATTTATACATTGCCCTGCTGGGATTCATTGCATATCTCCACAGATTAATTTTGTTTATGGAGTTTTATTTGAAAAATTTATTGGATTTTTGAAAATTCAGACCTTGTCATGTTAACATTGTTACAGTTTCTCTGGTAAGTACAAGAAAATGTACCTGTACAGGTCTCTTGCTACTTATCCGAAATTTTACCACAATCACGTTCATCTGATAAAAGGCTGATTATTGGTTACATTGTTATAAAAAACTGGACCCAAGAAACCGTATATTGCTGATACGTGTAACAATTTACTAAAGAAATTGAATTAAACGGGGAATCGCATTTAATGCTAATCAACAGATTGTTCGATACATCCAAAAAATTTAAAAAACTAAATTTTTCAATTCCTGTATTCTTGACACTATTCCACAAGCAGTTAAAAAATAGAAACTAATTTGCACAATTTCTTTTGTTGAGGAAAGTGCAATAATTTATTTTAATTGGATTGCAAATTCCGGTCCCATAGGAGTGGTGCCAAGAATTGTATGTGGACAATGAAGCATAATGTACGTAAACTATGAATAAGCAGGACCAAGGATGATGAAATGCCTACTATAAGTAAAAAGTTTAGTTAACGTTTATTTAAAAAAAAACCTATTGGATCGATTTTGTTTAAATTGTCATTTATTTATGTGTAAGCAAAGAATACTTAATAATGTGTAAGTATACGTTCGAAAAAACACCTGAAGTGACTAAACTGTATACTTCGATAGTAGTAGTTCTATGTAAACTTGTGTTACATCGTATTTGTCGATCCAGTTGTTTATTATTATTCTGATGGCTTTCCTTTGCAAAGAAAAGACTTCCTTTAGATGATTCCATATGCTGTGTGTCTGTGGTAATGGCATATATGAGATTGAAACGGCCCAAAATAAGCACATATGTAGTCACATGTAACGCAACAAGAATAGTACATTATATATCAAGGTAGAGAAGTACAGTATTATTGCCTGAGCACCAAGATTACATCTCGAGGCGCTTGCGCCGAGGGGTGTAAGGTGCAAAGGCAAGTAATAGACTTCTCTACCGTGGTATATATACTATTTTTTTCACTACTAGCACTTGAAATCCTCTAAATTAACATATTATATTGATAAGAGAGTTAACCTTAAACCATATAGTACATGGACTGCTAATCTAATTGTAACGAAAATATGGTCAAGGACATCGCCTGGGTATGTGAGTTTCAGGGTAAACGAGTCTGTCCGAAGTTGTCCGATTAGATACGATTTGATACTGTCAACCTATAAATTCACAAACGTCAATTAATTAATCGCCTAGATAAGGCAAAAAATGCAAACCTATTCTTATTTGTGGACGTATAGAAGATAATCAAGAGTATTTAAAGCTTCCTGTACTACGCGGTTACCATAGAAGCTACTCTTTACGCGATCCGAGTGGTTTTCATACGACTTTAGTTTACCCTGAGATTCACATACCCACGACTACAGTGCCCTCTATCCGTGACCACCCATTTTGTATTGAAAGCATAGGGATAATAGCAGTCCATGTACTATATGGTCTAAGGTTGTACTATATGGTCTAAGGAGTTAACGGTTGGACAGAATTGTTTGTTTCTTAATTTAACATGTCAATCAAGTACGTGGAAGTACAAGTCAAACAGGCCGTATTTTGTTCTGTCATTGAGATATTTTCAAAGAGTAATTTCGTTCGAATTTTTTCAAAATGTGATAATTTTAGGTAAGTATGTAATTTCTCTGGAAATGGCGGATGGTGGCAATTATTCATTTTAGAGAACTTGTCTAAACGTTTATTGAGCGAAATTTCGGGTTGTGTTTTCTAAAAGTGACAGCGTGACAGTTCTCATTATTGACTACTAGTTAATAATGGCCACATTATTAACCACTTTGAACAAATGCCGAGAAAGCCTACTTTACAAGTGGAAAAAAGGTTAATAATCATGTCATCAGACGCTAGTAGTGAAAAATAGTACATTATATATCAAGGTAGAGAAGTACAGTATTATTGCCTGAGCACCAAGATTACATCTCGAGGCGCTTGCGCCGAAGGGTGTAAGGTGCGAAGGCAATAATAGACTTCTCTACCGTGGTATATATACTATTTTTTTCACTACTAGCACTTGAAGTCCTCTAAATTAACATATTATATTGATAAGAAGGTGAACGGTTGGACAGAATTTTGTTTATTAATTTAACATGTCAATCAAGTGTGTAGAAGTTCAAGTCAAACAGGCCGTATTTTGTTCTGTCATTGAGATATTTTCAAAGAGTAATTTCGTTCGAATTTTTTCAAAATGTGATAATTTTAGGTATGTAATTTCTCTGGAAATGGCGGATGGTGGCAATTATTCATTTTAGAGAACTTGTCCAAACGTTTATTGAGCGTTCTCTTGAGTTCTCATTATTGACTACTAGTTAATATGTCCTCATTATTAACCACTTTGAACAAATGCCGAGAAAGCCTACTTTACAAGTGGAAAAAAGGTTAATAATCATGTCATCAGACGCTAGTAGTGAAAAAAATTGTTTTGCAAAGAGATGTACATAAATCGTTGACCTGATTGATCCCATCTTTTAGAGCTGGGTCGACAATACTAAAAATGTAATCAACATTTTTAACTGTAGGTATCGTCATTTCTAATGTCCTCTCTTTATTCAAGCTCGAGAAGTTACACTCAAAAGTATTCTCTGGCTAACGTTTGAATGGACAGATGATGTTTGATTCAATTTTGCCTTTGTTGAGGATCATAGTATTTTCAGTGTGTAAGTACATATAAAATATACTGATGAACACTGTTATCAATGATAGGTAAATCGTTACGTATATTCTGAACAGTAGCAGTCCTAACACCGATCCCTGTGGTAGTGTACCTAGGCTTAATTAGTTGACTGTAATTTAATATTTTTTCATTAAAATGCCTGTGTAAGATCGCAGAATTAAGCAATCATGTATTGAGGATAGGGTTATTTAAAAAGAGCATAAATGCACTAGGTACAAGGAAAGAGTTGACAGAGTGAACTTAAGATCCAATTTATTTATTCAATAGGTAGATATTGCTTGCAAGTAAATACGTATTAAGCAGGCCTTCCACGTGCATTCATTTCATCGAACTTTGAATGAACGCCATGCCTTAGAACTTGGAACAGAATGTTGAAACACCACTTTCACGTTCGCACATGGTTCGTACAAACTGCGCACAAATACAGGCGCGGAATGATTAGTTTTGATTTACTTTTCAAACCCTAAGGATGTCGAACAGAAGAAAGAAACCTGAAGATGAGATTATTCGAAACACTTTCTTTTTCTGTGTACAAAAAAATTAAGGTAGGTTTTATAACAAAAAAACGGAGAAAAAAAAATGTTAAAAGTTCAAAAACTAAAATATTTTTTTTCGGCAAAACTACATTAATTCCAAATAGGAATTACATATTAAGCATATGTTGCCTTGTGACATTAAAATAAAATCTAAAATCAATAGACAAACGAGCAAAAATTAAAAAAAGAGATAGCACGCGTGCAGAGAAAGTTACTGAATTGTAGAAGCTTTTCTTACAAATCGAGTACACAAAAAAGATGCAAACGAGACGCGAATTTCACATATTTTTCCGTTTTAATATATGTACGTACGTAGGTACATTGGCAATTTTCCGAGATAAGGGATTTTGTGCAAATTTTGGATATGTATATTAGGCATACTGAAACGAAAAATAAGGAGCCAGATTTTTGAAAAAAAATTTTGGAGCGCCGCAGCGCCATCGAACTTTTTTTTCAAATAGCAACCTAAAATTTTTTTAAGTTATTCGAAAGACCTTATTTTTCTGTGTACAACCTATAAAAATTGTGCCAGGTTTGATTACAAAAAAAAACTGAAAAAAAATGTCAAAGTTAAAAAACTAAAATATTTTTTTTCGGCAAGACTAAATTAATTTTAATTAGGAATTACAATTATTAATGATATGTTGCCTGTGACATGAAATAAAATCTAACATCAATAGACAAACATGAGCAAAATGAAAAAAAAAGATACGCCACGCGGTCCACCTCCATCTCCATCCAAGTACTAACCGCGCCCTACTCGGACGAAAACTGGTGTTTTCGACGTGGTGCCACAGCTTACTACTAGTAAGCTGTGGTGGTGCTATGGCTGCTGTCGAAAACTAAAGTCTAAGGGAAACAATGTAGAATCTTTTTTTTTACAAAAAGAGCACACAAAGACATGCAAACGCCACACGAAGTTCGCGATTTTTTCCGTCAATGTATGTGACTATACGTGCCTGCGTGCGTGCGTTGGCAATTTTCCGAGATAATGGCTCGACTGGTTCAAATTTTGCATATGTAAATATCTGTGGATATGTATAACATTAGGCATAGGGAAACGAAAAATAACGGTCCGGATTTTTTCAAATAGTAACCCACTTATTAACGAGTCAAGTTTTGGAGTGGTTACCCATTCAAATACGAGTGAGCAACGTTGCTTAACTATAAATGTAGGCAATAAATGAATCATTAGGAATAAACACAAACAAAAGTAAAAAAAAGCGCTAGAAGTCGTCAGATAACAACATGGAGTATTTAGGAAAGAATGTATTATTAAAGTGTAGGGCAACTTAATTTTTTCAAATAGTAACTTGAATGTTCTTATTCTACATCGGAAAATAATAAACTTTCGTGGGAAACGTTTTTGTCTAAACTTATATTATTTTTTGAAGACACTTCTAAAAGCGCTATTTTCAGATTGTGCTAGGAAGCTGTTCTGTCAAAAATTTGGCAATTGGTTATTGAATGGATTCGAATGCTTACTGAGTTTAATAAAAACGTCGATTAAAAAAGATTCGCTCACAAACTCTTGCCACAAATTTCACGACATGTTGTGTCTGAGTTCAACTCTGCAAAATTCTAGCGGTCGGGTACGATTGTGCACGCGGAAACAACAATATTTGTTTTCGGTTCCTCATGTAGTACAATGCGTAAATCTATCTCACTTAAGTCTTAACCCAAGGAGCGACAACTACATCCACGCGCGCGCCGAGCATCGCTCCGCGCCAAGAATTCATAATTGGCAAAACCTAAGGCAAAACTCTTCGATTCGCACCAAGAACGATCCAAACTATGCGCGATGCCCACTTCCACGTTCGAGGAAATGAATGCACGCGGAAGGCCTGCAAAAGTGAGTACATAAAAGCACTGAAGAGTGTCCAACACTGCTTAAATATTAAATTTCAGTTGAACACAGTGGTTATTATGAAGTATCCTGCATGTTAACATCTACAGCCTGATTGTAGATATAACCTATGAAAAACATTCGTAGAAAGGTGGAACTATCAAATGTTGATGATGGATCAACATAAACACATGTGTTTGCATAGGTAAATTAAAAACGGAGTCAACATTTTGATCACTGAGTGTAGGTATGTGCGTTTCTTTGCAGCATTGTGTACGTTATGCGTCATTGACTAGGTTATTCAATGATGCGTTATAGTGTCACAAAATGATTTTTTCTAAACCTCTCGCCAGGAAAGATTGCCGTCATTGATGTCAGTCTTACTACGCGGCCAACCTAAAACTTAACGGCATAAAAAGTGTTCCCAACATAAAACATGTTAGTTCTAATGTTCCCTATAGTTTCTGATAATGATTTTTTTAATTAAATTAAAGCACCGAAATAGAAAAAATAGTATGAAAAACCCGTGTTACAATGCTTTATTGTAATACTCCTATCTTGCGGACACTCGTGGCTACGCTTCGCGTCGCCACTCGTGCCACAAGATAGTCATATTACAATAGGTCGCATTGTAACACTTGTCTTTCAATATACTATAGTATCATTAGCAAACATTACACAACAAACTATATTTTTATATTACACATTATATATAGTATAAAAGAATTATATTAAAAAATAGAATAAAATTTGTTTAACAACTTCAATAACCATAGAGAAGATAAAAATTATTGTTTTTACAACCACTTTTTAATACTTAATTAAAAAATATTCACTGTTTGTCTTAAAAATCACACACAATATGTGCATAGAAGTAAAAATTCATTACAAAAATAACAATTCAAATACACTTAACTTGTTCATTAACTTGTTTTTTAATGCTCAACGGTCCCTTTCCAGTTATTAAATCAGTACTTTTTTCTACACCACATAAATTTGGAATATCTTTCACTTCAAGTAGTACCCTATTCAGTAGTAGCATAACAGTGTCTACATTTTCTTTACTGAACACCATGGGTGGTTTAAACTTTATAACATTTTCCTCAGGTCCATCGGAGCTCAGCAATACACGTTCTTCTTTCATTCTGTTTAACACAAAGGACTGCATATAGAAGTGCTATCAAGTAAAAGCTTGATCTTAACGGAACAATAGAAAGGAGAAAATTAATGTGGCCCAAGAATTGTTATTATTTGAAATACAGCTGATTTAGTAGGAAATAGGTTTTCAAAAGTAGCATTGTTTTTACTCACCTACTTACAACATATGTTGCAATTTCCTTAGCTGGTAATCTTTGAATTTGATCCGTAACTAACTCAACACCAACAAACAATCCAGCTCCTCTAACATCACCTATTACTTTATGTTGCAACCTCAATTTTTCGCATGCGTTTTTTAAATATGTGCCAACTTCCAAAGCATTTTGCTTTAAATTTTCTTCCTCGATTACATCAAGAACTGCATTTGCTATGGCGCATGACACAGGATTCCCCCCGAACTGCAACATAAATGATAGAATAACATTTTCACACAATCTAAAAAGATGCGCACTTACTGTATTGAAATATCCCACTCCTGTCTTTTTAAAGCTCTCTGCAATCGCTCGTGTTGTAATGACTGCAGATACAGGATGCCCATTACCCATTGGTTTGCCTAACGTAACAATATCGGGTATTACGTCATCACCATGCGTTTGGAAGGCCCACCAATGATCACCAACTCGACCAAATCCAACCTGCACCTCATCAGCTATACAAATTCCACCAGCCGCACGCACATGTTGATAAACTTCTCTAAAGTAGTTTTTCGGCGGAATAATTTGGCCTCCACAACTTAAAAGGCTCTCAGCAATAAACGCACAAACCCCTTTACCTTTATCTTGGATATTTTTACATATATCTTTAACATCTTCTGCATACAAGTGTCCGATTTCGTCTTCGCCGTAAGTTGAATCGCGATATTTACCTCTATAACTATCAGGTAGTGGAGCCTTAAACAATGAAAAGATACATTCATTCTAACGTCATTCTCTCTAAACACTTACTATATGGACAAAGTCTTTTTTAGGTGGACCTCCCGGCATATTTAATTTATAAGGCGAGATGTCAATGGTGGAAGTTAAATGACCGTGGTATGCGCTAAAACAATAAATTGTTCATCTTTATCTTTCCCAAAAGTGCAGCATAACAAATTATAAGACTATTTATATTGCACCTTAAGGCCGTTAATGAAATGGTGGTAAATTAATTAACCAGTAGCAAATATAGTCCATGAATTTATGACAATACAACTTTTGTGAGTTCTATATAATTTAAAATTAATTAAAATGGATTTGTCAAATATGTGGATTGTAATAGTTGATCTCCTGATCGGGAAATAGCATTGTAGTCAAATTATAGTAATGGACTATTGCACATTTCAATTATAAAGTTTTGTTCCCAACACCCGTACTATTTGGTGCATTATATTTAAAAAAATGGCATATATGATTTAACGAATAGTATACCTAAGCTAAGACAAGTATGCGATACCTACTTATTAATTAAAAATAATTAACAGCCTTAGATGTTAGAATGAGTAAATGAAGGTGAAAGTATTTCAAGGTAGTAGGTACGTGTATATGCAGCTTTTCGATTCATCCTTGTACTAAAATGATGTTTCTGTGCAAGCAATAAATTTCCAAATTAGTTCATCCTCTTCAATCTTTTATATGCTGAAATGAAAGAGAGCAAAACAAAAGCATTAGAAATAGCTAGTGTGTTGTGGTATAGTATGAACAGTGCATCAAACATTGTGAATGAGAATATGAATGAAATCACAAACACAATTTGTAAAACAATAAGAAACCAACTTACCCATCGAGGGTAATAATATCTGTGTTTCCAGTATGTATCTGAGCAAGTCGTAGTGCCAAATCATTCGCTTCCGATCCAGAGTTCACGAAGAAGCATACAGATAAGTTACTTGGCATCGTGGCGATTAATCGCTTTGCGCATAGGACAATGTTGTCATGTAAAAAGCGGTTATTTGTGCTAATCAGAGCCATTTGTTCACAGCCTGCTTTTACCACAGTAGGATGGCAGTGTCCAACTGAAATTAGGTAGTTTGAGAGTATTAGTTCTTCATATTATACCTAATCGTGTTTAATAGTGCTTCAGTTCATTGCTACAATATCTTACTTATAAAAATAAAAATTAATAAACCAGGTTATGTATTAACCACGGCGAGAACCATGGTTAAGATTGCGGCAACAGTCACATCAATTAACGAAGATACTAAATATTCAATTAGTATCTTCGTTAATTGATGTGTTGCCGCGATCTTTACATAGGTAGGTACTATTAAATAATGTCCTAAATTCCGATGGTTTTTAAGTAACATCGTTGAGTGAAGGATTTAATTACTCAATGGTAACATCCATTTATGCACGGAAATTGTACCGGAATTTTTAAATTGATAAGAATGCGTAAGCTATAATGTAATTGTGAACGAAAGCGAATATACAGTGAATTTTTTTTAAATGCGAACATAGGAGTTTGTATGCAATGTAATTTCCCTATGTTCGATTTTTAAAAAACACATCAATCTATTGAGTAGTTCAAATGAGTAGTAGAGACAATTGACAGCTGTCGCATTTTTAAAAATGCCGCCGTCCAATTTAATTACGAAATCGGTTAGGTTATTGCTTAGAATGTCAAGAAGGACACTTCGAACATTTATTGTAATTGTTTTCGTTATTTATTTTCTTATTTTCTTTATTTATGTATTGAATAAATCAAATTAGTAGAATACCAGGTGCACATGACCTACAAATAATTGAAGGTTGGTTCACAATGAAGTGTGATGTCAGCGCGTGCCATGTGAAGGCAAGTTATCGTAAGTTAAAGAAAAATTTATCCTAAAGTTGCTATGGCCTCACATGGCTTAATTAAAAGAATCTTACCGAGTGCTCTTCATCATAAAGACTATGAGTTGCTGTTCATAGTCACACAAATTGCGCGTTTTGGGAATGTGAACCGCGCACATCTCATAAATTGATGTGTTTTTTTTAAATCGAACATATAGGGAAATTACATTGCATGCAAACTCCTATGTTCGCATTTAAAAAAAACTCACTGTATGTGTTTTTGTATTGCAAGGAAATAACTGTTTCAAGTTGGTATTTTATTATTTAACCGTGAGAAAGGTGAAAGGGGATTGGCGCAACATATAAAGTAAAAATCGCAGTTAGAAATGCAATTTTATGTCATAATGAAAATAGAATAGGATCATAAATACTGCTTTACGTATGTATATTCGGAATGAGGTAATTGGTGTCATTGTAATAAAATAACCGCAAGGAGAATTCGTTTAAAAACGTCTATTCCGTACCGAAGTCGATTTGACAAAAGCGGGTACAACTACAAGAGGTGAGCAGAACTTATACACGCTTCGTCGTAGTGAGATATGCGGAACTTAATTATAGTAGACACTAGAGAAGGGATACAACTACAGTCAATTCGGGCGAGAAGCTAAGCGATTCCACGCGCAGCCTTAAGACGCCGAACCTGCGCCAGTTGTCTTTCGGATTCGAACCGTGCATTTGGGAGCAAATCGTCTTCGGCGCGATACCTACAAGAACGAAAATTATACCGAGAACCAAGTATTTCATCTCCATAGAGCGGTAGCAATGCCCAGACGAAATTTTCAGACGCATTTTTGAGAAAAACGACGACCCGACGACTTCCACAAAGCGACGCCCGCCAAGAATCCAGGCCCTCCAACGAGAGACAGGGAAATCTAGAATTCTACAATCGGTCCGTGTAGTTTAACTACGTCCAAGTTTTGGGGACGAAAGGGCATCCAGAACTCCTAGTGGATAAACAATCAAGGTATTTATAATAAATTACCTGCGTCGTACGGTTAATCGCGATATTGAATATTTCCATTCGCCGCAGCTGGAAATTACGAAACCTTTCATTAACTATAATTCACTACTTTTCAAACGGTTTGGTTGAAATAGATTTCAAAAAATTACACCGTTTATTGGCGCACATATCTTCGTCTGGATAAAGTTGAGTGCATTCAAGGAAACGATGTGACCGAAATTAGTTTCATCAATATGTATATCATCTATTTATATTAATCAATTGCAATTATGGGAGAGATAACCTCCATATATTTGTTTCCATGGAAATTAACTGCCGGATAAGTTTATCTGAGACAAGAAAAACCGGTAAAGTGTACAAAAAACAAAAAGTGCTCGTTTGTTTTGTTTGTGTTTGCCGTGCTCTAGTAGCTATATCAACTTTAAAACCTGGCATCAGGGACCCGGGCCCAAATAAAATATCGGTTCCGGAACTGTTTATACAGGGTGAGTTTTTTAAGCATTAGGATCTCGGAAACCGTAAGACATAGAGATTTGGTGAAATGAGGAAAGAGTTGTAGTTTTACGAGCTTATTCAAGATATGCTTTTGTTTTTTTAAACAAATCCACAGTTTACTAGATATGAGCGAAAAACAGATTTAGTGATTTTTCATTTATAACTGTTGTAGAAATACAGAAATATGCAAAGAACAAAAATTGTAGATTTTTTTCCGCTTAATAAGATACATTTATTAATATTTATTCTTCTTTTATAATTTTCAAGTTATAACGCAAACTTACATTTTTTTTAATGGTAATCATAGTTGTCTGTGACATTTTTAAAAAGTGCATTTTTTTCTGTTTACAATGATATAAGGTTCATTGTACTTACTTTGACAAATAAACATGATACAGTACTGTTTGTATTATTAAGAGTAGTAAAAACAGATTTTGCCATGGGAAACATTTTTGTTCTCTTAATTACTGTCTATTATAATATTTAACTTGCAGTTAGTTGTGCGGTGGGGCACCGTTGTGTTGAAACCAGCGTAAATTACGTCGTGTTTCCAAATCTAACCCATCCTACATATATTGAAATTCAGTTGGTAGAAAATGAAGATAACATTGGCCTGTCCAATTTTCGTCGTAAATGAAAGGTACATATCTCACTAGATATTGTTTCCCATGGCCACCTGTGTTTACTTACCTCTCAATAATACGAAAATTACTGCAGGGCGTTTATTTATTAAAGTACATTTGGCAAGCCTTATATCGTTACCTATAAAGAGAAAAATTTGTCCTTTTTAAAAATGTCAAAGCCAACTATGACTACCATTTAAAAAAATTAAAGTTTGTATTATAACTCAAAAATTGTAAGATCTAAAAATAAATTAGTATGTTCATCATGTTAAGCATTAAAATGTCTAAAACTTTTATTCGTCTCATTTTGTTATATTTCTAATAATAACGATTCTACAACAGATGAAAAATCACTAAATCTGTTTTTCGCTCATATCTAGTGAACTGTGAATTTTTTTCAAATAACAAAAGCATATCTTAAATAAGCTCTTAAAACGACAACTCTTTCCTCATTTAACCGAATCCGTATGCCTTATGGTTTCCGAGATCCCAATGCTTAAAATGAAAAAAACTCACCCTGTATTTAGGGGTAGATTTTCGACTCAATGTGAAGTATGATTTTTACAAATATGAATGTGGTTAACCACAGGCTCAACCCCATTTATTAATATGTAATAAAAACGTAGGTTGTGATACATAAATGCGATCAGGAAAATGAATTTAAAAAATGGACGTTAAAATATACAAGATGTTCATTAAAAAAAATTCCAATTTTGGGTCAAATCTCAGAAACGGTGGTCCAAAATTGTTTTTTGACTACGCCACTGGACTTTATGTGAAAATATCTGAAATATACCGTGTTTACCTTTTTCCTATCTTACATGGTTAGTAAAATATGATAACGTCCCAAAAAGGAAAAACCGCATCTATCCTTAAAAACAGCTGAGATACACTGTAGTCTCAACCAAAATAAGACACACTGTACGTTGGCAATTTTCCGGCTCGATGGATTGTTCAAATTTTGGATATGTATATTAGGGATACGGAAAAGTTTGAAAAAAATTTTGGAGCGCAGTTTTCGAGTAATTACCCATTCAAATACGAGGAGTAACCGGGAGCAAAGTTGCTTCACTGTAGACAATAAATGAATTATTAGTAATAAACTCAAACACGCAACAACGTGGGGCCCGGCGGTATTTACGAAAGAACGTATCATAAAAAAATGATCGACGATCGCGAACTCATCAGAATTATTAATTTTATAAAGGGTAATTTCGTTTTTATTCGAGCATAACAAAGACATGGAATATACGATACTTTGAAGCAAGCATTTTTGCATAGAAGAGATATCAGTTTCAGAGGATGATCTATATTGGGGTTTAACTGCGTCTGTATAAGCGAGACGAAATGGGGTGTAGAAGCTGTGGTAGAAGTTTGCTACTACCAGTTTTGTAATCTTGTATTTGAATGTCACTTAATTTATATACAGGGTGTCCCATTTATCTTGAGATAGTCGATCATTGCGGAAGCTAGGGGAGATATAAAAAAATGGTTTATGTAAAATTTAATGATGCTATGAACATTTTCACATAACTGTCCCTTAAAGGGTCAAGTGTAGGGAAAATCATTTTTTTCAAATAGAAACCTATACTTTTTATTAAATGTTCTTATTCTATATCGGGATAAACTTTTGCGGGAACAGTTTTTTCCCTACACTTACCGTTTTTTTAAGAGACTCTTCCATTCCAAACGCGCGATTTTTGGTTTGAGCTAGGAAACTGTTCTATCAAGAATGTGACACATTTTTTTTATTTCGTTACGTGGGCTAGTGGTCCTGAATGCATTCCTGCCTTTTTAAATGCGTGTGAAAGCTTGCGGAGACAGCGAGTCATGATCAACGGAAATTACTCCATGTGGAGTAAATTTATAGGTGTCAAGCGATTTGATTGGATTAATTTTATTTGTGGAAAGGGTTTGGGTCCCGCTATAACCGTGAGAGAAGTTGGGTCAAGAATCTGTCATTTAGCGTAGGGTGGTCTATATTGGGAGTGACAGTCGAAGATTGGGGCGCTAATCGTTTTTTCGGAGAGAACTCGCGCTGAGACGATAACTAAGATTTAAATCTCGAGCGAATCAAATTTCCCGTGAGCAGTTAAAGGATAATTAGCGAATAAATCTGACGTGTAGTTACAAAAGCGTGAGATTTTAAAGCGCGATTTTTTGGTGACATTCATTGTCCAAGCAATAATTTACGGTTTAGAACCTATCACGATAAATACGAACAATAGTGTAAGTTTTAACTCACAAGGAATTTAAATCGCGTGACCTTTAAATAAAGTTGAATTGCTAAATACCCAATTTGTTACGAATACGGACAGCATAAATGTAAATGTGCGACATTAAAAAAGCTTGTTAGTCAGTTAGTCAACTTGAAGAATAAAGAACTATGCGGAATATTCGAGCAGCAAGCGTTACAAAATTAAACGATAAGAAAAATTGTGACATTTGACTATTCAGGTTGATTGGACATCGTAGGCCTCGATTGGACCAATTTTGGTTCACACAGTATTTCGTCGTCACTGACATTGAGTGACATTCCGTTTTTGACCGTCATATCAGTTGATTTGAATTTTTAGTGAGCGAAAATTTGGATTACCATTCAAACCGAATATTCACCATGCTAGTTCCGTGAGATATTGCAAATTTCCAAATCAAGCAGTCGATCGATAGGTATCCTGAGATAGAAGCAATCAACCAACTTCCCTATCATAGTGGCCACTTGGTCTTTTTTTTCTCTTTCAATCTCAGAAACCGCATTTAACGTAAAGAAATGTTATACATACCAATTTTTGCCATTGCACAAAAGTGTGTAGAATAAATCAAGCCACAGGGTGGAAATTTTGTCTCGAATCAATATTTTCAAAAGTACAATTTTTGCAAAGAAGTTTTTAATGGTATCCACAATTATAACAAGTTTGCAATGTCAAGATATTTTTTGAATTTTAACCAAAGATTCTTCAATTAAAGGCAAACATATCGCATACTTTAAACATCAGCAGATCGCGCAATCCTAAGTTTCTTTTTTATAACAATATTTATGCCATAACTTATTTTCCTTTGTACACATAAATAGTCCGTTGTATGGCCTATCCGGAAGTACTGATCAATTCATGGAAAATGCACCAAAAGTTACTCGCCTTAAGGCGAAAACCTTTTTTCATTTTTTGGATGTAGCAGCATAAAAACGTATTATATTAGCCTACATAATCAACTTTCAGAGGAAATCACAAATTAAGGAAAATAGTTACGTTGTTTAGCGCGTTTTCCATACATTGATCAATACTTCTCAAAAGGTGATAGCTATATATGTGCGGTATGTGTTTCGTTACTAGAAGCATGTATGGTTAAAATTTCAAAAACTATATCTCCATAAATAAGAGAGTTGGCATTGCGCAATCTGCACATGCGCACATCTGATCTTTGCTGTATGTGATAACTGATAAGTTTGCCTTTACTTAGAAGCATCTATGGTTAAAATTTCAACCAAACTATTAATAAATAAAAAAGTTGATATTGTGCAGTCTGCGCATGGACACATTAATTAATTAAGATTTTTCTTGGCTCAGATGCCAGAGCTATAAGCTACCGAATTCAAAAAGAACCAACCAATATTGACAACTGTAGGAGTAGTTGCGACCTCGGACAGACGGACGGAGAAAGTGACCATAATAACATCTTCCAACATGAGTTGGACAATGCCCTAAAAATATAATGTAATGGTTGGTATTAAAAACATATAATTTTGAATTTTTAGGTACAAGAAAAGTAGGGAAGGTCCATTCTCCCGAAAGCATTCTTTCATTAAGATTAAAATTGTTAGTACGAGCGAGTCCTAATTTTGTAACTACTCGTTACATTACAGGTGCACACTTTCTGCACACTATAATTATTATATTGTCCTCCCATTTAGCACTAAAGTAGCAAAATAATCAAAAAAAGGTTTATTGGATTACGTTGGGTTACCTACTCTACGCTTTGGTGTTTACCTACGTCCGATATTCGGTATAATCAATACATAAATTGAAAGTTTGTACCTACTAATGATTTTAGTATAAAAAAATGTAGGTGATTGAAACGTTTAGTAAACTTCGATCACGAAAGTGTCTATTCCAACTATTTGCCATACATGTTCATTCCTATACCTTCAATGTTATCAACATGCGAAAATTCAAGGTTGTTAATATACTACGTCAAAACGGATCCTGTAAAAGTAAATAATTTAATTAATCCCAAGGTACCGTTTTTATATTAAAATAGGAACAATAGCGACAAAGGTTGGAATTTTGTGTTTATACTTGCTGCGTTTGAATTTGAAAGTACTACTGTCTCAATGTTACCTAAAAATATAAACAAAACAAAAATAAATGCAGCTACCTACTCAATGTTCAATTTACCAATGTGATTTAATGACATGCTGTAAGTTGTTTTTTTTTAGCTAATAATTAATCAAAATTATGCGACACTTACCGTGAGCAACATTATTAATACAATCCAAATAAGCGTTTCCAAGTTCATCATACATATACTGTCCTTTACCCCGAACTATTTTCAGTGGGTCCTTTCGAAAAAATAGATCGCAAGAAGGCCTTAAATGAAAAGAAATAAGAAATTGAAAATACGACCGCGTGCTGTAAGTATTTACGAAAGATATTTTTCACGAAGGGCGATTGTTTCTGATTTTGGCAAAAGTTCCATATTTTGAATTGACTTGTAAATAAATATTTGAAAAATTCGTGCAACGGAGCACTAACGCTGGAAATAAACTTGGTGTATCACAACGGCGTCGACGAAGTCGATATGTATATATAGTACCCACTCTCCGTCATGCGCGTCTAACCAAATTGATTCGTGTGGATATATAAGGGACATTTGTCATTTCGTTTTGTTGCAATTTCAAATCGAATTACTTCAACAATTATTAAACTCATTGGGTTATTAGTTCATTATGCAATATTGTAAATTGACAGTCGCCGTATGTTTTAATCGCAGTCCGTTCACTTATTGCTACAATACTTAACAACAAATGAGCATCATGGACTTACGAAATTGACACGTGAACTTTATCACATATTTATTAATAGTTACTATCAGTTAAGTATTATCTCATCTGTGCTAATTGTCAGATAAAAATGTTCAAATACGAATTTGAACAAACGTTGTTAGATTCGTTTTGACATTTTGGTAAGCAGCTTAAACATAAATAGTAAATACCATATCCGGGAACTCTGAAATACTTATGGCAATTGTGCGGCATAGTTCTGATCAAGATATATGAAATATATCTTGGTTCTGATGATTATAGTATTGCTGTCGATGATAGATGACATAAATAGGTAATGGATTACTATATGTGCATTTAATGATTTTCTTTACATACATATACGAATTGATACCTAAATGCATACTTCAAAGATAAATAGAATAGCTTTTTTAATGGAGATGATAAATCAAAAATCGTAGCCCTATAAGAGCCCGATTAATACAAGTACGTAAATCGTTAGTGTAACGATAACTCCTTAGCAACGGATTTAAGAACACTAGTGCTGTAAACAATGTCTTAACCTAGGTCTTAACACTTCTTTTTTATTGGTCAACAGTTAAGTATAGAATATACTTAATTCATGGAACACAACTAGGTGCTAAATAACGGTGTAGTTTCTTGGGTTTTAGACTTGTCACCGATTGTCACATACCTATAATGCCACCCGAAGAAACAGTGCCAGAGAAAGACTGTGCAATGCTGACATACTTCAAGAAAACATCGGCGGTGTTTAGAAGATAAAGTCTCCTAGACACCTCTCAGCCACACAATACTCTTCCGCCCGCAGTATCTCTCACTCAAGTAAGTTCAGTCAGCTCTAAAATCGGCTAGTTGAGTAACTGAAGATCGGCGAAACGCATGACCGGTGTAGGTACAAGGAAGAAAGGATCTGATAAAGTGATAATGATTTTTCTAAATGCTTTGAATCGTGCATTTATGTTTTCTAAAAACAAAGAAGAGAGTGGAAGATGATATTTGGTCTCTGGTCTCTATATGTTTAAATTAATCCCAAATGCTCCATTCCATTCATCGTAATACCATTATATTTATAAATACAATGGTAATACTAAACATTCGACCACGACCGATCTTCGTTTTCGGAACCCTAACGTTAGAGTTTGGAGAACGAGGGGTGTTTCTGGAATGACAAGATTTTGATTTACCGATGATGACTATTATGTGTGGATCTTTTAAATTTGTTTGGTTGTGTTACGTGGGCGAGTGGTCCTTAAATGCGGTCCTTACTTTTTAAATGAGTTTGAAAACTTAAGGCGCCGATGAGTCGGGAGATAAGGAGTGGATTGCCTGAGGTTACAGAAAAAATTTTGTTTGTACCTACGGCAGTCGTGTCGTTATCTGGGTTGTTGCGGCATGTGAGATTCGCATAATAAACGGAAAATTACTCCACGTGGCGGAAAGTGGGAAATTGGTTGTTCTGAGATAACCTTCAGGAGATTCGCGTTGAGCCGTAACATAGAGTAAAGACGTAAGCAAAGTTAAGTCAACCACTTGCAAATTACTGTAGGGCGTCGGGTGTGCTATCTGTAATTTAGCGCTGGGTGACAGCGACGTCGGAAGTGAATAACGGTTGGGGAGGGAGGGGGGCAAAAATAAGCGACCGCGGAGTCTGAAAGGTCCCCCCATGCAAAACTGTGTACGAATTAATGCAAAGCAGTGGGTTTTTCAAGTAACCCTGAAACCTGTTTATTTGATCAATCAAATAATGTATTTTTGAAAGAAAAGTTTTGAAAATTTTTTTTAAAAGTGTCGTCTGTATGTATGTGCGTACGTTCGTACGTTGGCAATTTTCCGAGGTAACGGCTCAACGGATTTTGTTCAAATTTTGGATATGTATATTAAGCATACTGAAACGAAAAATAACGAGCCGGATTTTTGAAAACAAATTTTGGAGCGCTGGAACGGTATCGACTTTTTTTTCAAATAACAATCTAAAATTTTTTTGATGAAAAATGAATGAAAATTTTTAGCGCATTTTTGCAAATTTATTTGTAAAAAGTAGCTTTTAATCTCACTTTGACTGGCTGGCTGGCAGCAAGTGTGAGCGCGTAGAAGAACTCTTGTAGAAAGCCAATGGGTGTACGTGTATCTATAACACCGTGTAATTTGTCAACCTTAGGGACAGGGCTACATGACGTGGGGTTGGCGACATCTGGGCGTCATCCTCGAGCGTAGTTTTACTAACGTGAAGGTTTTTCAGTTTTTTCCTATCTTCTACTACAGTTTTTGTCCGATTCTTTTCAAATTGGTGTCGTCGGAAAGATGTTGTAAACGCACATAACTCCTGCGTGGCGGAATTTTGTTTTTTTGTCCTAGGGACGAAATTAACGACCTTTTTCATGGCGCGCGCGCGCGTCTTCGAGAAGTAGTAAACTTCGGGCGCCTTTTACCTTCCGTTGCGAAGTTTGTCACGCCGTTTAACGTTTCGTAAATCTCGAATCGCTGTCTCTCTTTCTCGTGTCGCCAATAGAAGCTCGAGCAATGAGAAGTGCGAAGTGCCCCAAAAATTAAGTACTATCTTGTGGAAGGCTTTTAGCGAAATCCACCAAAATGTGGGTGTAATATAAGTATGCACCGAAAAAGGAAAGCCTCCGACAAGATCTAACTGATGGTGGAGTGAACACTTTAAACGCGAATTGCGGGTGCACGCGGAAAGTGGGAAGCGGGTACCGACAAAGTGAATGTAGTAGCCTTCGACAAGATCTTTTATTGATGGTTGAGTCAAAAGTGGCTAATAGAATACTGATCTGCCACACAAAAATGCGCTGAAGTCCCTTCGATCTCACACGAGGACTTTGATAATTTTTTTTACATGCGGTCATGTAACACCCTGTATTTATTCTACACCATCAGCGTCTTCCGCATCAACTTGAAAACATAAAACTTCAGTCATTCCAATACTAAAATAAGAAGCAAAAAAATCTTGAGCAGCAGTGTTGGGGAAGCATTACTAACGGCAGAATATGAAAAAATTATCAAAGTCCTCGTGTGAGATCGAAGGGACTTCAGCGCATTTTCGAGTGGCAGATCAGTATTCTCTATTAGCCACTTTCGACTCAACCATCAATAACAGATCTTGTCGAAGGCTACTACATTCACTAACCGTTTCCCACTTTCCGCGTGCACCCGCAATTCGCTTTTAAAGTTAAAATCGGGTCGGGGGTACCACATTCCCTTTGACGGTAGCCACTTCCGACGTCCCGTTCACCCGCAATTCGCTTCTATTGGCGACACGAGAAAGAGAGACAGCGATTCGAGATTTACGAAACGTTAAACCGCGTGAGTTCGCAACGGAAGGTAAAAGGCGCCCGAAGTTGACTACTTCTCGAAGACGCGCGCGCGCGCTCCTCGCAAAAGGTCCTTAATTTCGCCCCTAGGACAAAAAACAAAATTCCGCCACGCAGGAGTTGTGCGTGTTTACAACATCTTTCCGACGACACCAATTTGAAAAGAATCGGACCAAAACTGTAGTAGAAGATAGGAAAAAACTGAAAAACCTTCATGTTAGTATACTACGCTCGAGGATGACGCTCAGATGTCGCCAACCCCACATCATGTAGCCATGTCCCTAAGGTAGACAAATTTCACGGCCTTGTAGATACACGTACACCCGTTGCCTTTCTACAAGAGTTCTTCTGCGCGCCCACATTTGCAGCCAGCCAGCCAGCCAGCCAAAGTGAGATTAAAAGCTACTTTTTACAAATAAATTTGCAAAAATGCGCTAAAAATTGCATAGGTGCCTAAAAAGAAAAGAGGAAAATGCTTGCCCGGATCTTGGATTATGTATCGTTTAAAAATCATCGAAACGTGTAGAAATATGTAACTATTCTTTAATTGTTTTAATTTAATTACCTCAAAGTAAGCCACGAGTCTTTCTTCAATTGTTATGGACTGAGCATGGCAAGAGATATTTAGTTTATCGCTAATTCTGCTTAAAATATAGTCAATGCTCATTCGCATGTACCAGTCCGTCGATAGATTTTTTGCTGCGAACTTTTTAAAATTGAACGCCTTTATATTGGTTTATATAATTTTATTTATTTACCGGGTCATAATAAATTTGGGCGGCCGCAGATTAAGTATGGCATCAGCTTTAACCGGTTTAAAAAATCAAAAAGAAATTAAGGCCTATACAATTTTTTCATGTGTGGACCTACATATAATATCTTGAGGCAAGTAAGTTTTCCAACGAATTTATCACGAGATAACGAAAATTTTCCAGCTTGGTTCAATTTATTCTGTAAATGTAAATTGTTAGTAAAATGGAATAGTAACCCTTTGTATTATTTGGTGGTCAAACAAACGTTAAGTTTAGTTGCCAAAGGCACTTCAATTAAATTAAGTACCTATCAATTTATCAGAAGTTTCGTAAATAATAAAAAACATCAATTATGCTAGGTAATGTCATTTTAATTACCTACAGTAGTTTTTCCTGCTCAGGAAAAGAAATCAAAAAGTACATCAAAGTCGACATAAAAATTGTGTTATTGATTTTATATACCGACCACATCAACATTAGATGTAGATACCTAAATAGAACAGTGTTTGCATTAACAGCCCGCAACAGGACCTTTAATTAAACAGCAATCGATACTGTAAGCAGGTAGGTACTTATAAACCTATAAACTCGCTTATAACGCAGATAAGAAATTGTTCATACTTCATAGTCACGCAACGGGCGCTCATTATCGATAATTTAGGTTTATGTACATATAAGTATTGAAATAAAATTTTACTGAATGTACATACCTATATAAGGTAGTCTGATTTCTCTAACTCATATAGT